AGCATCTTCCCATACAGATACTCAGCATCTTCCCATACGGATACTCAGCATCTTCCCATACGGATACTCAGCATCTTCCCATACAGATACTCAGCATCTTCCCATACGGATACTCAGCATCTTCCCATACGGATACTCAGCATCTTCCCATACAGATACTCAGCACCTTCCCATACAGATACTCAGCATCTTCCCATACAGATACTCAGCACCTTCCCATACAGATACTCAGCACCTTCCCATACAGATACTCAGCATCTTCCCATACAGATACTCAGCATCTTCCCATACGGATACTCAGCATCTTCCCATACAGATACTCAGCACCTTCCCATATACAAACACCATCAATAACACCAAAGTATTATATGGTGTAAACACCCCATATAGTATTCAGTCAGCTGGTCCATATAAATAATTGCTGAAATGTGAGATTCCTCCTGCATATTAATAGACACAATAGAACACAAGCAGCGGGAAATATCTGGAATTGGAAGGAACTGTGACATGAAATATACAAGTAAGATGATAATAATACAAGATACAGCATGTTCCTAATCCATCCTAACGCTCATAGTCTGGAAATTGAATTCACCTTCTGACCTGAGCTCACTCTTCTCTGCTAACCAATCTCTGATAGAATCCTGAAGACTTGTGTGCAGATTGGGAAGGACACCCATCATCTCAAAAGCCATCAAAAGAATCCCTCAGACCTGGAGACTGCAAGCCTAGTGTCAGGAAGGTACTAGCCATAGTACAGCTGAAGCCTCTAGACTTCAGGTGTCAGACACAAGGCCCACGGGCTGAATACGGCCCTCCAGGCCATTTCATGTGGCCCTTGTACCTCTCCTGCAGGTACCTCCTTGTCTCTGCCCCCACCTTGTCTCAGTAGTTAGCAGCAGAGAGGAAAATAGAACTCCTCTGACAAATCCTGCACCTCTCAGTGTATGTCCAGCACCCCTCATCTCTGGTCTCAGCATTCAGCAGACTCTGGTAACTGACTCCGCTCCTCCTCTGGTCCTCCACCAGACCCTGCACTTTCTGCTTTCCAGCTCAAAGGGGGTGCACGGTGATTTTAGGGAAGGTGTGGGATTCTTGACATCTGATGTAATGGGGGAGTGGGGAGCTCTGGACATCTAGTGTTAGAGATACAAACGGCCCTTTGAGGGCAACCATAATGCTGATACGGCTTATGATGAAATGAAGTTTGACACCCCTGATCTAGACAAACACAATTATGTAGGTGCTCATCTTTCTCTGCATAACAGTACGCAGTTGCGTTTGTGAATGCGTTTTGGTGCACCCGCGGCTGCTCACCACTAATTTTGGCTCCAATGGGACTATTTAAACTGCACTTCTATTAGCCCGTGCTGTCTGATGTACAACTCGTATCTGTGTTCCTGCATCCGATCCTGTACTGACTTCTGTTATCAACCCGGCTTACTCTGACCTTGCTTGAATGCTACCTGCTCTAACCTTGGCCTACATCTGGATTTGCTCTGTGGTCTGCCCATCTGCCTGATTCTATGTTGCTGACCTGTACTTTACCATTGTAATGGAACCGGACCCCGACTGCGCTAGGGTATTTCCTTTAGACTCCCGCTTCCCTGTCCAAACACAGATCCACGGACACCACCGCTGACCATACAAGAGAAAACAGCACCAGACTCGTCTTAAAACAGGAAGTGGATTGCTTTATTTTAACACAGATACAAGATTCAGTTATGTTCAAAATAATAGCAGTGTGTTGAAAAAAGTGACTAAAGCTGAAAATCCTTCTAATAGCTTTTATTTCCATCCACACAGATGCATTGGGAACACGACACATTCTATTCCAAATCACAACATGAAGAAAAATACATCAAATTTGTGTTGTTCCTCTAAAAACATGAAGAAAAGTGAATATTAGACGGTTCAAAAAAATGGCCGTGTTTGTATTCTTCTTTACAAACTCCAACATTCACTATATAAACTGAGAAATGTTTGAAGATTTTGCTTTCCTTTGAATGACTTCATGAATATTTGGTTGGAGTCGCACTGTTTCTGAGAACTGCTGTACATCTGTGTTGCATGGAGTCCCCCAACTTCTGGCCCCTGTGATCAGGTATTCCAGCCCAGGATGATTGGACCACATTCCACAGTTCTTCTCTATTTCTTGGTTTTGCCTCAGAAACGGCATTTTTGATGTCACCCCACAAGTTTTCTATTGGATGAAGATCCGGGGATTGGGCTGGCCACTCCATAACGTCCATCTTGTTGGTCTGGAACCAAGATGTTGCACGTTTACTGGTGTGTTTGGGGTCGTTGTCTTGTTGGAACACCCATTTCAAGGGCATTTCCTCTTCAGCATAAGGCAGCATGACCTCTTCAAGTATTCTGATGTATTCAAACTGATCCCTGATCCCTGGTATGCGATAAATAGGCCCAACACCGTAGTATGAGAAACATCCCCATATCATGATGCTTGCACCACCATGCTTCACGGTCTTCACAGTGTACTGTGGCTTGAATTCAGTGTTTGGGGGTCGTCTGACAAACTGTCTCCGCCCACTAGACCCAAAAAGAACAATCTTACTTTCATCAGTCCACAAAATGTTGCCCCATTTCTCTTTAGGCCAGTCAATGTGCTCTTTGGCAGATTGTAACCTCTTCAGCACACGTCTTTTTTCCAACAGTGGGACTTTGCGGGGACTTCTTGCAGATAGCTTGGCTTCACATAGGCGTCTTCTAATTGTAACAGTCCTCACAGGGAACGTCACACCTTCTTTCATCTTCCTGGAGCTGATTGTTGGCTGAGTCCTCACAGGGAACGTCACACCTTCTTTCATCTTCCTGGAGCTGATTGTTGGCGGAGTCCGCCCCATTTTGGTTATTCTTCTCTCCATTCCAATGGTAGTTTTTCGCTTTCTTCCACGTCTTTCAGGTTTTGGTTGCCATTTTAAAGCATTTGAGATCATTTTAGCTGAGCAGCCGATCATTTTCTGCACTTCTTTATATGTTTTCCCCTTTCCAATCAACTTTTTAATCAACTTACGCTGTTCTTCTGAACAATGTCTGGAACGACCCATTTTCCTCAGAATTTCAGAGAGAAATGCACTGTAACCAGCATGTCCAACATTTGCTGCCTTCCTTCCTTAAATAAGGGCAATAATTGCTGCCTGTTCTTCAAAGAATGAATGACGTCACTAATAGAACTCCACACGGCTATTATTGTGAACACGCCCCTCAATGAGTGATTCAATGACACAGAATCAGCAGCATGCATGTCATGACTGTTGGGTCTGTTGGATTTCTATTACTCTACTACACCTGCTAGGAAATTATTTGCCATGTAGAAATATCATTTCCACCAAAAACAGTGACTGATCCGGTTAGTGATGTCTGACTGCTAGTATTTTGAACACAACTGTATATACACAGGGCGGGAAAATACAACCAGTAACAGAAAACACATCAGCAGGCCGTCCCATCAGGAGGAAGGGCTGCCAGAAACATCCCCAACCAAGCCAGTACAAACACATTTATCCCATAATAGTTTTCTCTCAAGCAAGCCACACAATAGAACAATGGGATGCAGCACTTGGCAGTGAACAATGGACAACCACCCCCCCCACCCCCCCACCCCCCACCTATGCATGTCTACACAATATTAGGAAAGATCACCCTGCACCCCTAACAGGCACAGGGTGACTTACACATAAGAGGGATATGGGGAGCTGAGACGGGGTCTCCCCATCTCTCCAAAGGGGGCTGTGTTCTATGGGCCCCCCTACCCAAAGTCACTCCCGTCACAACCATTCATTTATTTTTTTTTATGCAGCAGATGGAAAAATGTTCAAGTACTTGGCAGCACAGATTTTGTACCCTTTTTGGAGAGGAGGCCCCTATCTCTGGGGGACAGGGGGAGCAGATTTACCTTCATTAAATTAGTCTGTAAATGTTTGGAGATATCATATAAATATTTTACAGATTTCAGGCAGAGAATCTCGTCCTTATTAATGGGACAAAGACTCATAACAGATACAGAGTCTAGAAATATCCAGTGGGGGTTTTTAATCATGGAGGTGACCAGTGCATACTTTAGAGAGAAGAGGAAGATGTTGGTGGGGAGAACGAAGCTGAAAATGTGAGAAGGGGAGGATAGAAAGAAAAAAGAAAGAGGGCATAGGAGTTGTGTGGGAATGGGGTCCAGGGGGCAGGAGGTGTGGAGAGCATCAAAGAAACACTTAGCATCATCTGGGATAGTGACAGGGTCATGGTTGGATGTGGTGGTGGGGATAGTATGGTCTGTAGGATGTGTAGAATGGCCTCAGCCAACGCTCCGGCCATGAATCTGACGCATTTCACCTCGACCACCATCTATGACCAAGCCCCAGTGGGTGGGCCAAAATGCATCAGAAGGTGTAGCCCTGTTGCCATTCTACACATCCTACACACTGGACTCTTTGGGCTGGGTTGAGTGGCGTCTGTCCCCCACTACATTGGAATCACTGGAATCATTCCGGGACTCCTTTTTCCACATACCGGTGGGGTGACCTTTTACTTCCCAGCTTGGAATGGCCCCACAAGCTTTTCTCTATAGATGGGGATAGTATGTTAATTGGCTGAGATGACTGGACAATGGTGACCTCATCACAAATGACATCTATCTTATTGTTGAAATGATTGCCAATATCCTGCACAGTGCATGAGATGGTGGGTGGTGGCAGTGGGAGATGGAATAGAGCAGGGGTCACTTAATGGTGGACCACGGTCCGAGAATGGCCCCAGCAGAACTCCCTTCTGGACCGCCAGCCCGCAATGACAGATCCGCTGCTGAGCAGGGTGGTCGTCATGGCAACATGACATCACATGTGCATTCCGCCCCTTTACAGCTCATTGTCTCTCCAGATCCCACTCCCTGCCTGTACACAAGCATCCTTCAGCAAGGATCCCGGCACAGCTCCTGTCTACCCACGTGGTAGGGTGGAGTCTTACAGGGGCACTCTGACTGGCACATTTTATGTTAAGGGGTACTCTGATGGATACATTTTATATTAAGGAGCACTCTGATGGATACATTTTATGTTAAAGGGCACTCTGATGGGCACATACTGTGGAAAGGGGCACTCTGATGGTGAATATGATGTAAAGGGGCACTCTGATATGGAAATGTGATGGAAAGGGGTACTTTGAGTGTAAGGGGGTACTCTGATGGGAATACCTGATGTAAAGTGGCACTGTGATGGGGATACCTGATGTAAGGAGCACTCTGATGGGCACACCTGATGTGATAGGAATACATGATGTAAAGTTGCACTCTGATGGCGACACGTGATGTGATGGGGATACCTGATGTAAAGGAGCACTCTGATGGGCACACCTGATGTAAGGGGGCACTCTGATGGGCACACCTGATGTAAGGGGGCACTCTGATGGGCACACCTGATGTGATGGGGATACCTGATGTAAAGTTGCACTCTGATGGGCACACCTGATGTGATGGGGATACCTGATGTAAAGTTGCACTCTGATGGGCACACCTGATGTGATGGGGATACCTGATGTAAAGGGGCACTCTGATGGACACACCTGATGTAAAGGGGCACTCTGATGGGCACACCTGATGTAAGGGGGCACACTGATGGGCACACCTGATGTGATGGGGATACCTGATGTAAAGGAGCACTCTGATGGGAACACCTGATGTAAAGTTGCACTCTGATGGGCACACCTGATGTGATGGGGATACCTGATGTAAAGGGGCACTCTGATGGACACACCTGATGTAAAGGGGCACTCTGATGGGCACACCTGATGTAAGGGGGCACACTGATGGGCACACCTGATGTGATGGGGATACCTGATGTAAAGGAGCACTCTGATGGGAACACCTGATGTAAAGTTGCACTCTGATGGCGACACCTGATGTGATGGGGATACCTGATGTAAAGGAGCACTCTGATGGACACACCTGATGTAAAGGGGCACTCTGATGGGCACACCTGACGTAAGGGGGCACACTGATGGGCACACCTGATGTGATGGGGATACCTGATGTAAAGGAGCACTCTGCTGGACACACCTGATGTAAAGGGGCACTCTGATGGCGACACCTGATGTAAGGGGGCACACTGATGAGCGACACCTAATGTGATGGGGATACCTGATGTAAAGGAGCACTCTGATGGACACACCTGATGTAAAGGGGCACTCTGATGGGCACACCTGATGTAAGGGGGCACACCTGATGTGATGGGGATACCTGATGTAAAGGGGCACACAGATGGGCACATCTGATGTGATGGGGATACCTGATGTAAAGGAGCACTCTGATGGACACACCTGATGTAAAGGGGCACTCTGATGGGCACACCTGATGTAAGGGGCCACACTGATGGGCACACCTGATGTGATGGGGATACCTGATGTAAAGGGGCACTCTGATGGGAACACCTGATGTAAGGGGGCACTCTGATGGGCACACCTGATGTGATGGGGATACCTGATGTAAAGGGGCACTCTGATGGGCACACCTGATGTAAGGGGGCACACTGATGGGCACATCTGATGTGATGGGGATACCTGATGTAAAGGGGCACTCTGATGGGCACACCTGATGTGATGGGAATACATGATGTAAAGTTGCATTCTGAGGGTGACACCTAATGTAAGGGGGCACTCTTATGGGCACACCTGATGTAAGGCGGGCACACTGATAGGCACACCCTATTCAGACCTCGGCCAGAAGAAAGTTTTAGTGACCGGACCTCCTTGAATTTTAATTCCATACCCCTGGAGTAGAGAGTTAAAGGTAGAATAGAGTTGATGAGGACGGGATGAGAGGGTGTTTATGGGAATGATGAAGAGGAATGACATGATTAGAGGGCAGCTGTATAAAGGACGACATCTTGCAGCGACCTGATTTTACTCCACACCCACCCAAGAGCTGTTTGCTGGGGTTGTAGACGTCGGGCCTAATTGTGTGTAATGAGGGGAGCAAATGTGTCCAGGGAGGAATTACTTCTATTTTTAAACATTTATTTCTTTCATATTTCTGGGCCATTCAAGTTAAGAAAGAAAACAATAAAACATGTTTTTCTCATTTTATTCATGAGTGTAAATTTAAAACAAATCCTGGAGCCTATCTGACCGTCCATCAAGAAGTTCTCAAAAAGCAAAGTGAGATATCAGCGTAACTTCATCCAGTGCAGGTGAGTTGGAACCGCTTCATCTGCAGTTTTACATTTACTAAGATCTGCTGTCAGCGACGGCGTCTGCTGATCTGAGAGTTGAGGTTTTTTTTCCCTGGAAATGTTTGCCAATAATAATAATAATTCATACAGATTTCTCTATTATAATTTGTATTCCAGAGTACGTTCCCCTTCATGGTAATAATAATCGGTGACGGGTATTTTCTTCCTCATTTTCCTGTTTCTGTCAACGTCGGCAGTTTTCAGTTCTGGTAGTATACGTCTCTTTCATAGAGGGCAGAATTCTGGGAAATCTCTGGAAGATATATGAGGAATAATGAGGTCGTCTCACTTCCTGTTACATTGTAGAAGACATCCCTGATATACTGGACCTTCAGCTGAGACTCCTTCTTTGTTTTTTGTATTGATTTGTGATTTTTTTTTTAATGAATTCTCTTTTTGGAAATGTATGTTTAATTTAAAAAAAAATTATTTTAGAATTTATTGATAAGAAATAAATATGACCAGAGGGTAGTGAAGCAGTCCAGGTTTGAGTGGCGGGGGTTCCTGTTTGAAATTCAAGAGACATGATCTTTGTTTCATATCCTTTGGAAGTCTGGAGAGAGGACCTTTTAAGGGCTAATAACAAATTGTAACAAAAAAAGCATGGAAGCATTACCCTGGGAGACATGTACTAATATCAAATCTACAAAACGTACAGAGCGGAGAGGGTCCTATCTAAGTTGCTTTAAAGGGTAATATGCAACAACCAAATCCCTTACACCCCTTGACATTGGCTCCCAAGGTCCCTTTAAGCGCTTCTTAATGCCAGGAGTTGGAATCTGGCTTCTCAATCATCTGATCTTTGTGATTGGCTGACACAGTGGTCACATGATCAGAAGCCCATCCCACTGGCTCCTGATCATAAGCAGTTACTGGGAGCTGTCAGTAACAACTTGGTCATTATGCTGGGATCACTCCAGTGTGCATACTCAACACAAAACAGCTGAGCGGGTAGAGGATTGGCTTTAAAGCACCCCACCATGCTGCTACATATATGGGGTTAGAGGTTGAGGGTCAAGGTTGACCAGCGGTGGCAGGACCATGTGAAAGCAGCTTAATTTGGGGGAAAAAATGAGGGAGGGACAAGGCAGATGCTTTCCAGGGATATCCTAGATTGTAAGCTCTAATGAGCCGGGCCCTCTGTTTCCTCTTGTACCAAATTGTATTGTAACTGTAATGTCTGCCTTCATTGTGTAAAGCGCTGTGCAAACTGTTGGAGCCATATAAATCCTGTATAATAATAATAAAAATTAAAGTGTAACATCAGAGACACAACTCCAAACAATGACCAGCAACAGGACTATGTCATTAATGTCAGAATATGTCATTAAAAACAGGACACTACTAGGGAAAGAGAATTCAGGGGTTTTCCTGTAATACTAACTAAAGTGTATGTAGAACCCCTCTAGTTAGCGAGGGGGAGCTACATAGGTTTTCAGATAAAGGCCATGTAGCAGCCTGGGCATGAGTCATCCAGGTCCTCTTAGGTCAGGGATGAGAGCTCTGTAGATCAGTTCCCTGATACCTCCTCCTGCTCTAGAGACTTGAGAAGTTTCTAGAAGGCAGTGGCTGGGGGTGAGGAAGGGCTGATCTGCATACTTATGGGATCCTGACCAATACCCAGGCAAGAGACTTGGTATGGGGCCAGGACAGCCCTTTAGTATGACTGAGCCTGCTCAACAGCAGGAGAGTTTGAGTGGAAGATGGAGTGAGAGGCTGGATGCAGGAGCCTGGGAGGGGGCCCTGTGGGAAGGAGCCAACGTCCAAGCAGGAGCTGGAAAAGAGGATTGCTGAAGCTCACCAGTCCACAGAGAGAGGTCCACCTGTAGAGCCAGGGAAGGTGCCAGCCCAGTAGGAGGCCTGAAGGCAGCTACAAACCCAACCAGCCTACAGGCGAGGAATGGTGAGTAATCCTACACCCCTTGGGCCAGATTTTCCTGGTGGGAAACCTGACTAGCCCCCATCTGGGACTGTGCATTTAAAGTGGCAGATTCTGGGATCCCTTGCTCTAGGAGTCCCTCAGAACATCTAGATGAGAAAATAATTAATCTGGGGTCTGGGGTGGTACATCAGGAGAGGCTGGAGAGCTCTCCAACAAGAGATCTGCTGTATAGAGACTTGTACATAATTCCTTAGGAGTTGTCCTCAGTTACAGTTCCTTTGGGCATCCCATACACCCCTCAACCCCATCGAAGTTTGATACCCCTAATAAAAACCCTAAAAACAAGCTCAAGGACTGTCTACTGTCTCCTGTGTGCAAGATCTGAAGAAGATACGTGTTACCTGGCTGTGCAGGACTATAGGGGGGACCCAAAACTCAGTGACTCCTAAGGGGGTAGTGCTAAAAACAGATATAGCTGTGAAAAAATAGACCAGCGGCAGGAAAGTACATGGGCAGCTTAAATAGGCTGCGAATTTGGAGATACATGCCAGAAGTTCACCTGCAAGAAAATGAGATTGTAGCATCCGAAATACAATTGCAAAAAATAATTTCCAGTGGTAAGACTGTACACGGGCAAATGAAACGTTTGCAGATTTGGAGACATAAGGCCAGTATTTTTTTCTACAGAGGATTGAGGCTTAGCAACTGAGACACAGCAGTGAAAAACATTCCCAGCAACAGGACAGCTTGGCGGCCAAGCTCTGCCGTTCCCACAGAGGAAATTGAATTTTGCAGTCATGTGACAAGAGACTGAAATCCTGCACAGAACAAGCCCTGAGAGTCCTATTGAACCTAAGTGACAACGCCTGGATGGCAAGGCATTTCCAGTTACAGTGCTGACCTCATCTCTAGCAATATTCCATGCAGTAATTCCTTTACACCACTAGTTGTCCTCAGGATTTCATGGTAAATGACACCTTGCATCCTTCAACTTGGAAAACTCAGGACATCCTATAAGTTCAGGGGGTCATGGACCCTCCCTTCCCGAAGGGGGCATCACCATGTTGCCCTGCACTCACAGTCTAATAATGAAGCAGAAGTATCTGATATTATCATTGAGGATATCCTAGTTTTGGGGACGTACTGAAAGGGAGCCAGAATATCATGTGACTGACTTGAAGTCATATGAAACATGACTATAATAAAGCAAAATGAAAATTTACAGCAGCAGGGGGCTCCTGGGTTGGGGGGTGGATGCAGAATTGAACTTGAATGTTTCCTGGATGGAGGTTAGCACCCCATTGTTGGTGTCGGTGAGAGGAATAGTGCCCCATCATTGGTGTCAGTGGGAGGAATAGTGCCCCATCATTGGTGTCAGTGGGAGGAATAGTGCCCCATCATTGGTGTCAGTGGGAGGAATAGTGCCCCATCATTGGTGTCAGTGGGAGGAATAGTGCCCCATCATTGGTGTCAGTGGGAGGAATAGTGTCCCATCATTGGTGTCAGTGGGAGGAATAGTGCCCCATCATTGGTGTCAGTGGGAGGAATAGTGCCCCATCATTGGTGTCAGTGGGAGGAATAGTGCCCCATCATTGGCGTCAGTGGGAGGAATAGTTCCCCATCATTGGTGTCAGTGGGAGGGATGGTGCCCCATTGTTGGTGTCAGTGGGAGGAACAGCGCCTCATTGTTGATATCAGTAACAGAAATTATGCCTTATCATTGGTGTCAGTGGGAGGAATAATGTCCTATTGTTGGTGTCGGTGGGAGGAATAGTGCCCCATCATTGGTGTCAGTGGGAGGAATAATGTCCTATTGCTGGTCTCAATGGGTGGAATAGTGCCACATGGTTGGTGTCAGTAGGAGGAACAGTGCCCCATTGTTGATGTCAGTAGGAGGAATAGTGTCCTATTGTTGGTGTCAGTTGGAGGGATAGCACCCCATTGCTGGTGTCAGTGGGACGAATAGTGTCCTATTGTTGGTCTCAGTAGAGGAATAGCGCCTCATTGTTGATGTCAGTAGCAAGAATTATGCCCCATTGTTGGTGTCAGTGGGAGGAATAGTGTCATATTGTTGGTCTCAGTGGGAGGAATAGCACGCCATTGTTGGTGTTAGTAGGAGGAATAGTGCCCCATCTTTGGTGTCAGTCGGAGGAATAGTGCCTCGTGGTTGGTGTCAGTAGGAAGAACAGTGCCCCATTGTTGGTGTCAGTAGGAGGAATAGTTCCCCATCTTTGGTGTCAGTCGGAGGAATAGTGCCCCATGGTTGGTGTCAGTAGGAGGAACAGTGCCCCATCATTGGTATCAGTGGGAGGAATAGTGTCCCATCATTGGTGTCAGTAGGAGGAACAGTGCCCCATCATTGGTGTCAGTAGGAGGAACAGTACCCCATTGTTGGTGTCAGTAGGAGGAACAGTGCCCCATTGTCGGTGTCAGTAGGAGGAATTGTGTCCTATTGTTGGTCTCAGTGGGAGGAACAGAGCCCCATTGTTGGTGTCAGTGGGAGGAATAGTGCCCCATTGTTGGTGTCAGTAGGAGGAACAGTGCCCCATTGTTGGTGTCAGTAGGAGGAATAGTGTCATATTGTTTTTCTCAGTGGGAGGAATAGCACCCCATTGTTGGTGTCAGTCGGAGGAATAGTGCCCCATGGTTGGTGTCAGTAGGAGGAACAGTTCCCCATTGTTGGTGTCAGTAGGAGGAATAGTTCCCCATATTTGGTGTCAGTAGGAGGAACAGTGTCCCATTGTTGGTGTCAGTGGGAGGAATAGTTCCCCATCATTGGTGTCAGTAGGAGGAACAGTGCCCCATTGTCGGTGTCAGTAGGAGGAACAGTGCCCTATTGTCGGTGTCAATAGGAGGAATAGTGTCCCATCATTGGTGTCAGTGGGAGGAACAGAGCCCCATCTTTGGTGTCAGTGGGAGGAATAGTGTCTTGCATCAGTGGGAGTAAAAGTGCCCCAATGGTCAAATAAAGGCAAGCTGAGAGCTGCATCTGGCCCCCGGGCCGCAGTTTGGAGACCACTGTTGTATAAGGACACCATCACAGAATATTCAGTCTGTTGGTCAATAAAAATACTTTCTATTTGAACACCTTATCCTCAGTTACACATGTAAAAGCCAATAGAATACACAACAGCAACAGGATGTTGAGTGGCAAAAATACAAAAAACTTTATTGTAAATACAAACAGAGGCAGAAATGTGGGACGTTTCCGAAGACGAAGCCCCAAAAGTCCCTTGGCAATATGTCAGCTGGCAGCTTTATGAGCTCTATGCAGGAATGTGGGTTTTCTCCTGTGCTGGTGCCGTTCACACTACGGCTGGGTTCACATCTGTGTGGGTGGTTCCGCTGCGGATCCGCATGTAAATCCGTGCAGCCGCACCACCCGCACAGAGAAATGCGGACCTGCGGGGGTGCCATTGGTTCTACTGGCCCGCCGCCCGCACTGGAAAAACACAACCGTACTGGGAACCGAGGTTCCCACGTGGACTGCATTTTCATATGAAGTGCGGGGACTTCTTCCCTGCGTGTCACGGGGCATGGGAGTCCATTCAAATGAACGGGCTCTCGTGCCCACGCAAAACGTGGCCCGCATGGCTGCATATATGTGAACCGGGGCTAACAGAAGGGAAAACAAGCAGCAGGAAATATTGAAACTGAGTATAAGTGACTGTGGCACTAAATACGGATGTGAAATGATAGTGTTGTGCAGCAGTAACAGTCAGGGAACTGACACACAGTGTTCTTTATTTCACCTTTACGGACTGTATACAAAAATATGCAAAGAGATATAACTAGTATTAAACTGGGGGTATAAAAAGAAGGTGTCCCGAGAAACAGGAAAACAAGAAACAATTCCTGCGTTTGTCCACTAGGTGGTGATGCAGTGTAACTATATGGCACAGGGGAAGGTGTCACTGGTATTCCATCTACTGTAGGTGGGCCAGGAACTGATAGGTAAAGTGTCCTGGAGGGGAATGCAGTCTCACTTGTTAGGGGACCATCTGCAGAAGAGAGACTAGGTAGTTAAGAAAGAATCCTTCTTAGGACATTCATGGAACCTTAAAGTCGTACCTCCATCTTCCTGAGATGAGGAAGTGAGACGCTTTATGTGCAAAGTATGTCAGATAAGGACACGCCCCCTTTGGACCACAAAGAAATAATATGCAAAAAAAAAATTGATGACACACAAATTATTTTTTATGGCAACTTTTTCTTTATACTGAGGAGGAGATGAGGACAGAGGGATTTGGTTCCATAAGAAGGACAACTGAGGAGGAGACAGGGACAGAGGGACTTGGTTCCATAAGAAGGATAACTTAGGAGGAGATGGGGACAGATGGACTTGGTTCTATAAGAGGGACAACTGAGGAGGAGATGGGGACAGAGGGATTTGGTTCCATAAGAGGGACAACTGAGGAGGAGATGGGGACAGATGGATTTGGTTCCATAAGAGGGACAACTGAGGAGGAGAAGGGGACAGGGGGATTTGGTTCCATAAGAGGGACAACTGAGGAGGAGAAGGGGACAGGGGGATTTGGTTCCATAAGAAGGACAACTGAGGAGGAGACGGGGACAGAGGGACTTGGTTCCATAAGAAGGACAACTGAGGAGGAGACGGGGACAGAGGGATTTGGTTACATAAAAAAAGGACAAATGGAGGAGGAGGCAGTGACATAGTAATTTGATTCCATAAGAAGGACAACTGAGGAGGAGACAGGGACAGAGGGACTTGGTTCCAAAAGAAAGACAACAGAAGAGGAGATGGGGACAGAGGGACTTGGTTCCATAAGAAGGACAACCAATTAGGAGACGGGGACAGAGGGATTTGGTTCCATAAGAAAGACAACAGAGGAGGAGAAAGGGACAGAGGGACTTGGTTCCATGAGAAGGACAGCCAAGGAGGAGATGGGGACAGAGAGACTTGGTTCTATATGAGGGACAACTTAGGAGGAGATGGGGACAGAAGGACTTGATTCTATAGAAAGAACAACTGAAGAGGAGAAAGGGACTTGGTTCCATAAGAGGGATAACTGAGGAGGACAGGGACAGAGGGACTTGGTTCCATAAGAGGGATAACTGAGGAGGACAGGGACAGAGGGACTTGGTTCCATAAGAGGGACAACTGAGGAGGAGATGGGGACAAAGGGACTTGGTTCCATAAGAGGGACAACTGAGGAGGAGATGGGGACAGAGGGATTTGGTTCCATAAGAGGGATAACTGAAGAGGAGATGGGTACAGAGGGATTTGGTTCCATAAGAGGGATAACTGAAGAGGAGATGGGGACAGAGGGACTTGGTTCCATAAGAGGGACAACTGAGGAGGATAGGGACTTGGTTCCATAAGATGGACAGCTGAAAGCTATGCTTGAAGTGTATGTTCAGCCCATCATTTCCTTAGTTTTCAATGTAGTGGGGATTAGATCTCCTGTCAGGTATTATTGATGTGTTGGGGAGACTTCCCCTCACTTGCTGTCCTGCTGACAACATTTTAGCACTCCGTCCAATTTTTTAAAAATTATTTCTGTTGTTGGGAGATTTTCCCTCACTTCCTGTCTGGTAAACTGGTATTAAAAAAACAAAAAATGAACTTTGCAGACGTATTAAAGCTGAACTTCCAGAGAACTGAAAGAACTGTCCTTGCAGTGGGACTCCTCCAGGACTTCAAGGGTTTGAATGCTCAGCCTTGCCAAGGCTACCAAGACTTATTACTTACGTTGTCCCTCCCCCTTCCATGCACCCGGTTCCTCGCAGCCTCTTCTCTTCAGCATCCTGGCTGGTGGCTGTGACATCATCACATACATGCAGAACTATCATTCCCATTGTAGTGAGGACATGGAGAACCCGTCTACAAGGCAAAGCATCAGAGAGAAGTGAGCGTCGGCTGCTGGAGGAGTGAGGGATAAGGTCAGTAATGGGCTCTCAGTATCCTAGGCAAAATGAGCATTTAACCCTTGCAATGATAGGGGAGCAAGAATATTTATTTTTTTCAGATCTCCAGAGTAGCTTTAAATTTTTCCCTCAACACGGCCGCAAACATGGCAGTGTCAGAACGGCAGATGAGGGAGCTGTGGGAAGGTGAGACTACCGTAGAAATCAGTTGGTCCCATCAACACTCTGAGAAATGAATTCAGATTGGTCACACACTGATCCAATGAGACAATTCTATAAGGCAGTGTACAATTCCATGTGAAAAGCGCAGCAGCCCAGCAACCAATCAGCTTTCAGATGAATGAAGGTGAGCGCTGATCGGTTGACTTGGGTTACTGCAACTCAGTATTCAGTAAGAGGAGTATAGCCGTGAGCCTGGGGCATCATGGGTGCGTTGCTCAGGATGGTGGTCTGTGCGGTGGTCACCGTGGACCAATTCCCCCTCCGCCGGATCTCCCGGGCCATCTGACACCAAGTACAGGAGTAGCAGCAGCAGGAGCGGATGCAGTCATCACAGATCGAACCCTGAAATGAGACCGATGGAAAGGGATGTCAAATGAGATGTTATGGGGAAGGATTTGTAACATTGAGGTGTGTGTCTGCATAAAGCACGTCCAACACCGCTGCCATGGCACAGTTTACCACCCCTGTAGGCCCAGTGGATATGGAAAGGGGATTCACCTCAAGACCCAACTCCAGCAGGGGTGCTTCCAAAAACACAGACTCAAGAATCCCCTGCCACTGGTGTGCTTTTGTGACATCAAGGAGGTGGGTGGCCAGCTTTGTAGCCTACCAGAGGTTCCCAACCCCTCAATATACACAGAGCTTTCATGGAATATTACAGCTATAGAGGGAGTATTGGAGAAGCCCAGCACACGGGCCTCAGTACACATGTGGCAGAATGAGATCTTCATTCCTCTGCAGGAGAAGATCTGATGAAGAATAATTCTCTCTCCTTCCCCAACCAGAGAGGGGTCTGAGCTGATTAAAGATTTACCACCAATACACAGTGGGGCAAAAAAGTATTTAGTCCCCACCAATTGTACAAGTTCTCCCACTTACAAAGATGAGAGAGGCCTGTAATTGGCATCATAGGGAGACCTCAACTATGAGAGACAAAATGAGAAAACAAATCCAGACAATCACATTGGCTGATCTGGAAAGAATTTATTTGCAAATTATGGTGGAAAATAAGTATTTGGTGAATATGAAAAGTTCATGTCAATACTTTGTTATATATCCTTTGTTGGCAATGACAGAGGTCAGACGTTTCCTGGAAGTCCTCACAAGGTTGGCACACACTGTTGCTGGTATGTTGGCCCATCCTCCATGCAGATCTCCTCTAGAGCAGTGATGTTTTGGGGCTGTCGCTGGGCAACACGGACTTTCAACTCCCTCCAAAGGTTTTCTATGGGGTTGAGATCTGGAGACTGGCTAGGCCACTCCAGGACCTTGAAATGCTTCTTACGAAGCCACTCCTTCGTTGCCCGGGCGGTATGTTTGGGATCACTGTCATGTTGGAAGACCCAGCCACGTTTCATCTTCAATGCCCTTGCTGATGGAAGGAGGTTTGCACTCAAAATCTCACGATACATGGCCCCATTCATTCTGTCCTGTACATGGATCAGTCATCCTGGTCCCTTTGCAGAGAAACAGCCCCAAAGCATGATGTTGCCACCCCCATGCTTCACAGTAGGTATGGTGTTCTTTGGATGCAACTCAGCATTCTCTCTCCTCCAAACACGACGAGTTGTGTTTCTACCAAACAGTTCTATTTTGGTTTCATCTGACCATATGACATTCTCCCAATCCTCTTCTGGATCATCCAAATGCTCTCTAGCAAACCTCAGACGGGCCGGGACATGTACTGGCTTAAGCAGGGGGACACGTCTGGCACTGCAGGATCTGAGTCCCTGGCGTCCCTGGTAGTGTGTTACTGATGGTAACCTTTGTTACAATGGTCCCAGCTCTCTCCAGGTCATTCACTAGGTCCCCCCCGTGTGGTCCTGGGATTTTTGCTCACCATTCTTGTGATCATTTTGACCCCACGGGGTGAGATCTTGCGTGGAGCCCCAGATCGAGGGATATTATCAGTGGTCTTGTATGTCTTCCATTTTCTAATTATTGCTCCCACAGTTGATTCGTTCACACCAAGCTGCTTGCCTATTGCAGATTCAGTCTTCCCAGCCTGGTGCAGGTCTACAATTTTGTTTCTGGTGTCCTTCGACAGCTCTTTAGTCTTCACCATAGTGGAGTTTGGAGTGTGACTGTTTGAGGTTGTGGACAGGTGTCTTTTATACTGATAACAAGTTCAAACAGGTGCCATTGATACAGGTAATGAGTGCAGGACAGAGGAGCCTCTTAAAGAAGAAGGTCCAGGTCTGTGAGAGCCAGAAATCTTGCTTTTTTGTAGGTGACCAAATACTTATTTTCACCATAATTTGCAAATAAATTCTTTCCAGATCAGCCAATGAGATTGTCTGGATTTGTTTTCTCATTTTGTCTCTCATAGTTGAGGTCTCCCTATGATGCCAATTACAGGCCTCTGTCATCTTTGTAAGTGGGAGAACTTGCACAATTGGTGGTGACTGAATACTTTTTTGCCCCCCTGTATATATAGATAACAAGTGTGTGTTGTACATCCTGTCTTTATGCAACGCCATCCCTTGCACTTGCTGACTATTCCCAACTGTGAAAAGGAGTGGTGGGAATTGCTGGGAGATCATTTTGTCTGTCATATTCAGGAGATCTGTTCCTCACCATGCCTGCAGGGATCTGTTAAAGCCCGGGAGCTGCTGAGAACAAATCGGTCCTTGTAAACGTAGAAGATTTATGTGTTTACGAGTGACAGTGGAGAGTGATGAGCGGAGGGTGAGGGGGCCACATGACATGGTCTGGCCATCCAGAGTCGGCCTGTGGGCCTTGTGTTTAAAATATGTGCTTTAAACTATTTTTTCTTGGTACATGTCCCCCATGGTATTGTCCAGTTCCCCATGCCCTTTGTTGATAATTCCTCCCCTGTTGGCCTAGAAAATGATCATTACTGATTTCTAAGATTCCATTTTTGCTGACTTCAATGGGGTTCAGATTCAGCATCCAAACTTCCATAAATTTTGCTAAACTCTGCTGGATCTGAACTCGGGTACATTCAGTTCATCACTAATAGTGAGCCCTACACCTTAGTAACACCAAAATAAGTCAAATTCTGCACATCCCCGAGCACTATGGCACCACATCTGCTGGCTTCAGGAACCTGATGACCACCCTCCAAGATGGCGGCAGTGACCCAGAGCATGGGATGGGTCCCTAAACTTGTATCAGAAATAAAACTGGTGTAATGTCTAAAAGTATTGCTACTTCCCCAACATGCATCAGACTTACATGAATCTTGTGTCTTTCTCGGACAGCGGCTCTCATGGCAATAGTTATAGGAGGACAGACCCCGCTACAGCCAACATATCCCATGAGGGTCGGATCCATCAAAGGCAGACAAAAGCACTCTCCAAATTCACTGGCCGTGTTGCACTGCATGCAGGGGAAGCACCAGAGAGCACAGCAACCTGCCAAGAGAGACCGGGGAGAGGTGAGAGAGAAGGAGGGATAGAATATCACTGTTATTGTACAAGATTTATGCAGAACCAACAGTTCGAGCAGCAAGGTCACAGTAAGGGAGACTGTACAGATACCATGTAATGCAATACAGGAGGGCATAGAGGGCTCAGAGGGCTCAGGGGGCTCAGAGGGCTCAGAGGGCTCAGAGGGCATAGAGGGCTCAGAGGGCTCAGAGGGCTCAGGGGGCTTAGAGGGCTCAGAGGGCTCAGAGGGCATAGAGGGCTCAGGGGGCTCAGGGGGCTTAGAGGGCTCAGAGGGCATAGAGGGCTCAGAGGGCTCAGAGGGCATAGAGGGCTCAGAGGGCTTAGAGGGCTCAGAGGGCATAGAGGGCTCAGAGGGCTCAGAGGGCTTAGAGGGCTCAGAGGGCATAGAGGGCTCAGAGGGCTCAGAGGGCTCAGGGGGCTTAGAGGGCTCAGAGGGCTCAGAGGGCATAGAGGGCTCAGAGGGCTCAGGGGGCATAGAGGGCTCAGAGGGCATAGAGGGCTCAGAGGGCATAGAGGGCTCAGAGGGCTCAGAGGGCTCAGAGGGCATAGAGGGCTCAGAGGGCTTAGAGGGCTCAGAGGGCATAGAGGGCTCAGAGGGCTTAGAGGGCTCAGAGGGCTCAAAGGGCATAGAGGGCTCAGAGGGCTCAGGGGGCTTAGAGGGCTCAGAGGGCTCAGAGGGCATAGAGGGCTCAGAGGGCTCAGGGGGCTTAGAGGGCTCAGAGGGCATAGAGGGCTCAGAGGGCTTAGAGGGCTCAGAGGGCTCAGAGGGCATAGGGGGCTCAGAGGGCATAGAGGGCTCAGAGGGCTTAGAGGGCTCAGAGGGCATAGAGAGCTCAGAGGGCATATAGGGCTCAGAGGGCTTAGAGGGCTTAGAGGGCTCAGGGGGCTTAGAGGGCTCAGGGGGCTCAGAGGGCTCAGAGGGCATAGAGGGCTCAGAGGGCTTAGGGGGCTCAAGGGGCTCAGAGGGCATAGAGGGCTCAGAGGGCATAGAGGGCTCAGAGGGCTCAGGGGGCTTAGAGGGCTCAGAGGGCATAGAGGGCTCAGGGGGCTCAGAGGGCATAGAGGGCTCAGAGGGCATAGAGGGCTCAGGGGGCTCAGAGGGCATAGAGGGCTCAGAGGGCTTAGGGGGCTCAGAGGGCATAGAGGGCTCAGAGGGCTTAGAGAGCTCAGAGGGCATAGAGGGCTCAGAGGGCTCAGGGGGCTTAGAGGGCTTAGAGGGCTCAGGGGGCTTAGAGGGCTCAGGGGGCTCAGAGGGCTTAGGGGGCTCAGGGGGCTCAGAGGGCTCAGAGGGCATAGAGGGCTCAGAGGGCTCAGGGGGCTCAGAGGGCATAGAGGGCTCAGGGGGCTCAGAGGGCATAGAGGGCTCAGAGGGCTTAGGGGGCTCAGGGGGCTCAGAGGGCATAGAGGGCTCAGAGGGCATAGAGGGCTCAGAGGGCATAGAGGGCTCAGAGGGCATAGAGGGCTCAGAGGGCATAGAGGGCTCAGGGGGCTCAGAGGGTTTAGAGGGCTCAGGGGGCTCAGGGGGCTCAGAGGGCTTAGGGGGCTCAGGGGGCTCAGAGGGCTTAGGGGGCTCAGGGGGCTCAGAGGGCATAGAGGGCTCAGAGGGCATAGAGGGCTCAGGGGGCTCAGAGGGCTTAGAGGGCTCAGGGGGCTTAGGGGGCTCAGGGGGCTCAGGGGGCTCAGAGGGCTCAGAGGGCATAGAGGGCTCAGAGGGCTCAGAGGGCTCAGAGGGCTTAGAGGGCTCAGAGGGCATAGAGGGCTCAGAGGGCTCAGGGGGCTCAGAGGGCTCTGCTCATAAGAGCTTACAATCTAAAAGTATAGAAAGAAGAGCGAGGTGAATAGAAAGAAAAAGAGAGAGGATGAGAGGGAGAGGAGGTATCATCTTTTACTGCTAATAATGTCAATCATTCTGCCCCACCCCCATCCAACCCATAAAACCTGAAATGTGTTGGCTATACTAAAATGTATTTGGTCCTGCTGAGAAAGCTTCTTTCAATTAGTGTGGGAGAAATTAGGGAAAGAGAGAGTTGGGGGGATAAAAAGAAAAATAAGGAAGGTAAAGAGAGAGAGAAAGATCAGAGAGAGAGGAATAATGGGAGGTAGAGAGAGATCAGCAAGAGAGAAAGAGAGATTGAGAAGAGATAGAGAGACCATGGAGGTAGAGATAGAGATCTGGAGGTAGAGAGACAGATGATGGGGAGAGAGAAAAGACAAGAGAGGTAGAAAGAGATATTAAGCACAGAGAGATTGGGAAGAGAGAGATCACCACAGTCCTTTATTGCAGTGAAGTTTGGGGTCCTGTCACCCACCCAGACCAGTCCAAATGGGACTCCAGCCAGCCAGAAATTTTTCATCTGGAATTCTGCAAGCACCACTTCCAAGTCCATCGGAGCTCCTCCAACAGTGCTTGCCGGTCTGAGCTTGGCAGATTTCCTTTGCTCCTCAGAGTACAGAAGAGGGCGCCATCATACTGGGACTACCTACAAAAGAGCAGTCTAACTCCACACACTACCACCACAAGGCCCTAATGACCAATAAGGACCATTCAACGCCATGTGCCCTGCAACAACTCATCAGCGCCTTCTCCATTTCAAGCACCCAACAATCTGGCCTGCCTAAATGTCAAATAAAGAACATAATGAATGATTCCCAAGACAAATACGTTGAGGAATGGAGAAATGAAATAAACTCTAAGAAACAAACTGTTTTCCAGTCACTGCAGGGAGACTACAAACTGGCCCCGTATCTGGAAGTACTACAAAACCCCAAAGACAGACAGACCCTGAGCCGGTACAGACTGAGCACCCACAGCCTGGAAATCCAATCAGGATGGCACAGACAGACCTACAAACCCAGGGAGAGTACACTGTGCCTACAATGTGACCAGGGGATCCTGGAGGATGAAGACCACTTCCTGCTACAATGTGACCAGGGGGCCCTGAAGGATGAGGACCACTTCCTGCTACAATATGACCAGGGGGTCCTGGAGGATGAGGACCACTTCCTGCTACAATGTGACCAGGGGGCCCTGAAGGATGGGGACCGCTTCCTGCTACAATGTGACCAGGGGGCCCTGGAGGATGAGGACCACTTCCTGCTACAATGTGACCAGGGGCCCCTGAAGGATGAGGACCACTTCCTGCTACAATGTGACCAGGGGGTCCTGGAGGATGAGGACCTCTTCCTGCTACAATGTGACCAGGGGGTCCTGGAGGATGAGGACCACTTCCTGCTACAATGTGACCAGGGGGTCCTGGAGGATGAGGACCACTTCCTGCTACAATGTCACCAGGGGGCCCTGAAGGATGGGGACCGCTTCCTGCTACAATGTGACCAGGGGGCCCTGGAGGATGAGGACCACTTCCTGCTACAATGTGACCAGGGGCCCCTGAAGGATGAGGACCACTTCCTGCTACAATGTGACCAGGGGGTCCTGGAGGATGAGGACCTCTTCCTGCTACAATGTGACCAGGGGGTCCTGGAGGATGAGGACCACTTCCTGCTACAATGTGACCAGGGGGTCCTGGAGGATGAGGACCGCTTCCTGCTACAATGTGACCAGGGGGCCCTGGAGGATGAGGACCACTTCCTGCTGCAATGTGACCAGGGGGTCCTGGAGGATGAGGACCACTTCCTGCTACAATGTCACCAGGGGGCCCTGGAGGATGAGGACCACTTCCTGCTACAATGTGACCAGGGGCCCCTGAAGGATGAGGACCACTTGCTGCTACAATGTGACCAGGGGGTCCTGGAGGATGAGGACCTCTTCCTGCTACAATATGACCAGGGGGTCCTGGAGGATGAGGACCACTTCCTGCTACAATGTGACCAGGGGCCCCTGAAGGATGATGACCACTTCCTGCTACAATGTGACCAGGGGCCCCTGAAGGATGAGGACCACTTCCTGCTACAATGTGACCGGGGGTCCTGGAGGATGAGAGAGAGAGATCAGATAGAGAGAGATTGGAGAGAGAGATCAGGTAGAGAGATCAGGTATACCGAGGTCAGGTAGAGTACTTGATGGGGACAAGGGCCTCTTCCCCACAACCATGGCCAGTGGTTGTGGGGTTCTGCGGGTGGGGGGCTTATTGGAATCTGGAAGCCCCCTTTAGCAAGGGGGCCCCCACATCCCCCTTTAACAAGGGGGCCCCCAGATCCCAGCTCCCCCACTATGTGAATGAGTATGGGGTACATGGTACCACTACCCATTCACAAAAAAAAAAGTGTAGTGTAAAAATGACAGGAAACATTTAAAAAATGTCCCCGAAGTAGATCCAACATCAATAACAATGCCTGCCGCCTCCAACCCGAAAAAAAGAAAACAAAAAAAATCTGCTCCGCTCTCCATGCTGACTTCCACCATCTGACAGCTGTGCCACGATGACAGTTTTTTAACCCCTCACCTACCGGGCACTGTCACCCCCTTCCTGTCCAGGCCAATTTCCAGCTTTCAGTGCTGTCACACTTTGAATGACAATTGCGCGGTCATACAACACTGTACCCATATGAAATGTTTATCATTTTTTGTGACAGACAGAACTTTATTTTGGTGGTATTTAATCACCTCGGGGATTTTATTTTTTCTTAAACAAACAAAAAAACACTAACATTTTGAAAAAAAAAGTTTTTTCATAGTTTTTGTTACAACATTTTGTAAATAAGTGATTTTTCTCCTTCACTGATGTGCGCTAATGAGGCTGCAGTGATGGGCACTGATAGGTGGAACTGATGGACACTGATAGGCGGCACTGATGGACACTGATAGGCGGCACTGGTAGGTGGCACTGATGGGCATTGACAGGCTTCACTGATGGGCACTGAAAGGCAGCACTCATATATGGCACTGATAGGTGGCACTGATAGGTGGCACTGATAGGTGGCACTGACTGGCACTGTTAAGCGGCACCGATAGACAGCACTGATGGGCACTGATAGGCGGCACTGACTGGCACTGATAGGTGGCA